GGAAGCTTGTGACACTATAACAAATTCCTTGTATGTGCAAACATACTTGGCAATAAAGCTCTTTCTGATTCTGATAAAGATGATTCTCAACTATGTTATGAAAGTTGATAATAATGGGAGTAATAATTAGCAAGATTTTCATAATAATATCTAATATTTAATAGGAATATTGATATATTTTTTTTCTCTATTCATTTGTTGTGTCTCCCAAAATGTGTAATAAACATGCTTTAAGTCCTGGTGTCCTCTACAGTGGACATGTATGAAATTGATGTCCTGTTTCATAACAGAAGGTCATATTTTGATTTGAAACCCCATAACATTTTCCTGAGATGTTGATTTATGACAAACAATTTGTCAATTAGTCAGATTTAAATGATAATTACAAAATATTATCATATTTCCATTAGGGTGTTGCATTTGATCACTAAATGAATGTCAGCCATTTTTAAAGACCAAGGAGAGGGAGTGGTCATGGTGAAACATCCAATCATTTGGTATCTCTGAAAAGCCCTGAATGTGCTCTGTACAGGACATCCAGATTTAAAACTGACATGTAACGTCTCAGAGAAATCGCTAAAACATAATGTCCTCTACAGTGGACAAAACTCCGTAGCTGGTAGTCAGGAGGATATATATATATATATATGTGTGTGTGTGTGTGTGTGTGTAATTTATTATTGGCTTATTAATGGAATTAATTGCTTTTGTCGTTCTGCCAGAGGGACTGTGGTGACCCAGAGGAGGCCTTTAAAAATTGGTTCCAAAAGAAACAGGAACAGCAGTTCAAAGACAAGCAGATAGAGGAGATGAAGAGACTGGAAAAGGAGAGTGGCTTTTGCCTGCACAGCCGAGAGGAGAGTGAGAAGGCCTTCAGACAGTGAGTTCAGCACCATATATTATTCTTCTAAAATCAGGAAACAGATGGAGAATTGTATTTAAAACCAATGTGAAAGCATTTCCCTCTTGCTCTGTTGTACAATAGGTGGCTGAAACGAAAGCGTACAGAGAAAAGAGCAGAACAGCAGGCAGCTCGAGAGTGCTCACGCAGACTCATGCTGGAAGAGCGCAGAGCAAGACGCATGCATGACCTCCACTGCACTGTCAATGAGATCAAACCCTTCCGATTCAGTGACCCCTATGGATACCGCTACTGATCAACTCATAATGTACACGTGACCATTGTTAAAACCAGGGTCTGAAGTTCCTCCAATTCTGCAATCACAGTGCTTACTGCTTCAAGAGTCATCCATTCATCTGTATCTATGGTTACTGTTCTATTGAACTTCTTAAAGTTATGTTGTCTCATCTCCATGATACAGTGGATGAAAGAACATGTGGTTAGGAACACAAACAGGAGCTCTCTTTTATTAATTTTCCATTCGTCCTTTTTCAAAATACAGAGATCAAACAGGTGCTTGAGTGGATATCCCTGTTCCAACAGCTTTAGGCACTTAAAATAATTGCTACTCCATGATGATTTAATATTTCGCGTAACTGCTGAATCACCAGATATTCTCATTTTTTGTTTAGCTGGCTATCCTGTAGATTTGCCACGTGTCCACTGCGGGCACTAGTGTGCTACACAGCTATTGCAGTCTGCAGCAGGAACAATATTAAAGCAGCAGTTCAGGCCCAAAGCTTCTGATCAATGATCTGTATGTGGGCAGTTGACATAAAATGCTTTGGAAAAGGTTTATACTTCAGCTAAAACTATTTTAAATGGCATTTCTTTTATCATTATTTTTGCATGCATCTTTATGACCTTATATTAACTGAGAAACCATATGGAATATATGTACTTTTAAAATATTTTAATAATTGCAGGATCATTAAAATAAAATCTAGGGATGGTACAAGTGCGTTTAAAATAATGAAAAGTAAAATATATATATATATATATATATATATATATACACTTTGCCTTATACATTCATTCAAATTAAACCATAATCTGAATGTTAATGAAAATAGTTGGTTCTGGTCTGATGTGTATCATCCTGTGTTTGTGAAGATGTTTTTTTTTCTGTACTTAAGTTAAATGTTTCACATATTTAAAGAAATCAAGACATATAAAAATAAGATTAGTTTTGCACATGATCATTAATTCCACAACCGTACCAAAACCCTCCTTAAAATATAAAAACAAATACAAAATTTAAAATAAATAAAACAAAAAAGCCTTGAAATATCATTATATGTACACTACCAATAAAAGGTTTGGAATAATTAAGATTTGTTTAAGGTTTCTGAAAGAGGTCACTTATGCTCACCAAAGCTGCATTTATTTGCTGAAAAATACAGTAAAAACAGTAATATTACAATTTAAAAGAATGCAGTTGATTTCTGTGATAACAAAGGTGATTTTTAGCAGCCATTCCTGGAGTCTTCAGTGTCTCATGATCCTTCAGTTGCTTTTTTTTTTTACTTTATTTTTGATCAAATAAATGCATCCTTAAGCTTAAGAGACTCTTTTCAAAATGATTGTAATTATTCCAAACTTTTGACAGGTAGGCTATATATCGTTCAACATATTGAGACAAATATATTTTCAACATATGACATACGAGTGTTTACTGGCAACAAAAGTTCACATTTGAGGTTCATATTTTGTTTCAAAAATGTACATGACAATTAATAACAGTGAACAGTTGCACATTTGTGGCGAAGATAAATTAGGAAACCACATTGCCCAGCATCCTTGTCGTGCGCCTGCGCAGAACTCACTTCGCCGCTAATGAGTTGTGGAGGGATGCAATGCCCCATAGCAACATCAGTACCAGCGGAGGAGCGCTGTAGCGGACGACCTAGGTTAAATATCCTGAGAATATCTTTAACAGGTGCTGCATGCGGACAGCATGGACGACCAGAAGGTAAGAAGCAACCGCCGTTATAGAGAAATTACGAATGACGCGCTTTTGATGAAAAAGAAAGAGGATGCTGCGTGAAAGAGATACTAAATCCGAAATACCGTTAGCTTGTAGCTTCACTTGTCACGTCCTCCGCCCATTGTGTTAGTGGATATGTGTCCTTATAAAGGACAGTCTGAAAGTAACAACTTCGTACGGTTAGGATATGCACGGTATTTAAATGCATGATGTAGGCCTGTAGGTGAAGATTTCCTTAAGTTGATTAACAACAGCCAATGTGAATCACCAGAAACCGCCCCGGCTCTCACAGCTCTGTAACGCGCAACGAGTATTATTTTCAAATATTCATTACAGGAATTGCTGTGAAGGGAGGAAATAATATTTCAGTATAGTCATAGATGAATACCCACAGGCCAGAGAAAATTTTGGTGCGGGGCAACCCCGTACCGGCCTGTATTGTTACAAGCTTCTGGCTTCAGGGAGGCGCCCCGGATATAAAGCCGCTTCTGTGTGGCTCATCATCAGTGACTTGATCCAGAAGTTCAGAACAAGTGGCCTGGATGAGATGAGAATGAAACAGGACATTTCTGGTCAACCCTATGTGAGCGACAGTAATATCAGCTCACTCTCCTTCATCTGTCTAACGTGCTTTACTAGTCTGCAGTCTGCGCTTGTCTTCCCATGAAACACTCTAAAATAGACAAGGAAACAATAACGTCGATGGGAAAGTATCATATAATGACATCTAACAAATTGTGTTAAAGGTGCACTAAGTAATTTATTGCTAATTAAATTGTATTTGTTTTCTTTTGTGAAAATACCGCTTTTGAGAAATATTAAAATTATTCCAGTCATATCAGTCTTCTAAAAAAAGTAATTATTCTTCATGAAGCAGGTTGCTCCATCATTAGCACTGGCATGTCAAGATCACATGACCAGCCATCATGCAATTCATTTACTAATAACTTAACAAACCAAATAATATAACAAATATATTTTCCATATATATAGTTACACTATTTGCTCAGAAAACATGTACAGTAATAGCATAGTTATACAAGTTTTAAAATTTGTTATATTCTAAAGCATAAAATAAAAAAATATATATCATTGTTTGTATGTGATCTTTATATGTGATGAGCTTAAAAAACATGTGCAGTAAGCACAGTAATAAAAGCTGTAAAAATTGTATATATTCATTTGATATAATTTCTATAATATATTTACATTGTTTAAAGGCATAAAATTGTCCAAATATAATTGCTCATAATATGTGTTCTTTATATGTCATGAACTTAAAAAACGTGTATAATAATATTATTTAAATTGAAAGCGTGAAATGGTCAAAATATAGCTTGTGTGATATTTATATGCAATGAGCTTAAAAACATGTACAGTAAGCAGAGTAATAAAATATTTAAAAAGTGTTATATATTCTATATAATATTTATAATATATTTATACTATTTTCATTTAAAGACAAAATTGTAAAAATATAATTGATCTTTATATGCTATAATAAAAGCTAACATAAAGCAATGATACAATTCTAATATAACTATCACCTTAATGAATCTGCTTTGTGAGACAGGCCTCTCCCTGCACGTGTTGCCATTGTCAACCTGTTATTGTTTTGATTAAGTTTTGGCTTTATATGACTCATGCATGTGAAATCAGAAATGCATTTATAAACTGTTTCAGGAGTCACTGAGGAAGATTATCACTACGTTGGCTCTGAAGAATGAGGAAATTCAGAATTTCATCTGCTGTCTAAAGCAGAGTCTAGAGAACCTAGAGGTAAACACCACAGCAGGCCTTCTGCTCTTTTTACTCACATTTACGTATTGAACTGTTTGATGAATGAGGAAATGTCTTTGTCAGGTCTCAGATGACCCAAATATGTTGCAAGCACAGTGTTTGTCCAGACACGTTTCACTAAACCAGCAATTTGCAACAGCAATACCATCTTAAGCAGGAGGAGACAATCCAGCTTTAACTCTGCATTCATGGTGATTGCAGGTGAATTCAAACCGAGTGCAGGAGGATCTGGAGTCAGAGTTTAGTTCTCTGCATGCTGTCCTGGATGAACTGAAAGAGGGCATGGTCACACAAATCAAACGGGAAAGAGCCAGTCGCACATATGAGCTACAGGTAAGAGTGCTGTGAGGATCCCTAGCCATAATACAGGTTAACACATTCTTCCTAAATTAATTCAAATGTTTTATATTTGCTAGACTAAATGATCAGATATATCAATAAAAGGTTGAGTGAGACGGCTTTAGAGCTTGTGCATGACTTAGATGTGTAATGTTAAGAGAAGGATAATAAGAAATCCTTGAGGATTACAGTGTCTGCGTGTGTGTGTGTGTGTGTGTGTGTGAATAATCCAGATTGCATCCATTGTATCCCTGTACATCTGAAACAAAGCATTTTACCTCTTTACCTCTGTGACTGAGTGACATCTGTCATTACAATCTTCGTTTCTTTACTTCTTTGGAAGAATATGATTTCAAAGCACTTCCTCGTGACTAAGTGTGTGACCCTGAAGTTACAATGTGAAAATATTGATGTTAACCATTTTATCTGCATGTTTTTGCAAAAACAAAATCCTGATGAAGAGCCTGCGTGCTCAAAACGTCACCTGTGTGATAGGCTGTTATTAAATGTTTGTATTTTTACAAAATATAACTGTTTTCCGCAACTGTAACTAGGTGTGCTGACTTTTTTCTATTTTCATTATCCACTCATGTTTTTTCCTTCTGTTTGTAGTTATTATATACTACATGATATATGATTACCTTTCAGAATTTTTGTATTTACTCTGCCTTTCAAAAGTTTGGGATCTGTAAGATTCTTAATGCTTTTGAAAAAAGTCTGTCTCTTATGTTCCCCAAGGCTATAGTCTGGGCGATACGGGCAAAAATTAATATCTCGGTATCTTTTGCAGCATAAATTTCTTTACTGTCACTTTTGATCCATTTTTATTGCATCCTTGCTGAATAAAAGTATTCTTTTTTTTTTTTTAATAAAAAAATCTTTCAGACCCCTGACTTTTGAACAGTAGTGTACATCGATTACATGAAAACACATTTTGACAATGGCAATTACTAGAACAGGTGACAAACCAATTGTAGTAATGTAGCAAACTATTCAAATCAAATGCAAATAAAGTTAAGCCTCTAGTACAGAGAAAAACAGCAGTATGCAAAATACAACAAAGCTACAACAATTTAGCACACTGCTAGATAAGTTTATAAGACTACCAAAAGTCCAAAAGTTGATATAGTTACAATAGATGAGTAGAGTTATGTAATCATTTATTAAACTTCAACCAGATTATGTAATTGTCCAGTGATATTATTGTTGTGATGGTCTTTTCAGAGTCAGCTGAGTGCATGCACCAAAGCCCTAGAGAGCTCAGAGGAGCTGCTGGAATTAGCCAATCAGACGCTCTGCTCATCTGAGAATGACAGCTTCACTCAGGTACCGCCCACTTGGAATCTTTACAACACTGTTACAACTAAATGACTCATCTATTTACACTTAAAGGGCTCCTATTATGCTTTACAAGATATACTGTAAGTCTCACGTGTCCCCAGAATGTGTCTGTGAAGTTTCAGCTCCAAATGCCTCGGATCATTTATTATTCCATGCTGCTGCTCCCTGCCCCCTTTTCAGAAGAGGGCAGTGTCTTCACAGCTCATGCATTGGATACATCAGCAAAAACAAACAAAACATCTTCATGTGTTTAAAGCCTTGTCAATGTAAACTCCCGATATACGGTTTTCTGAGTGCACAGAAAGCCAGCGGTCAGATGGCACGTTGCGTGAGTTCTCTTTCATGTCACACAAAAAAGCACACAAGTTCACTTAATGTTGGTAATGTCTGTGAATGTAAACAGTTGGGGAAGAAATCACACGTGTATCGTTGTATTAGATCGGTGAAGTGGTGTCTCTTGGATATGGCGACAACACACTACTATTGCAACTCAACCAGGCCTCGTCCCTTCATATTTTTCTGTTTATGCCTTGGGCGGGAATGATTTAAATGAGGGCTATTGTGACATGTATGTACAGGTGCATCTCAATAAATTAGAATGTCGTGGAAAAGTTCATTTATTTCAGTAATTCAACTCAAATTGTGAAACTCGGGAAGAAAACTATTACAATCGAGGCATTTGAGGGAGTTCAGAAACAGTGCTTGTTTACTGATATAGAGAATAACTCCCTAAAGAGTGGACTTTGCATATCTTTTTCATGCTCAAACAGCAACATAATGCATTAAAGGAAGTTGAAAGTGTAAAAAGAATAATAGGACCCCTTTAATGACTTTATGGTGTTTCAACCAATTATCTTTTTTGATACACATTTGAATGAAATGATATTTTTACAATTGCTTTTAGGAGACTTGTCCTCAAAAATTGACTTAATGATAGTTATTTGATTGTTTGTTTACAACATTTTGGCACTGCTGTTGCTTTCTCTAACAAAGTGGCAAATTGTGTCAGATGCTGCTGGCTTTTCGTGCTAACACGTGCTGGTATGACTGATGTATTGTGTTTTGTTGAGACTCAGTTCTCTCGCTCCCTATCTCTCTCTCTGTCCCTTCTTCTTTTTCTCTTTCCTCTCTGCTGCAGGCCGCCAAAGAGATAAAGGATAGGTACTGTACAGATGTCCATATTTAGATCTTTGATTGAGTTCAATGCACAGTGTCGAACATCTTCAAACACTCCTCCTGAAAGTTCATTCATTTTATCATTAACTCATTTCATCTTTTTTTTTAGCAAAATTCTAGTAATTTTATTAGTGATGTTTGGCTCATTTTCATTTCGTCTGACTCCCCAGGTGTGTGCGTGTGTATATGCATGGAGTGATTTACTGTGCCCTCATTGACGCTTTCCTTCAGGACATTCCCACATTACTGTTCTCAGTCTGTCAGATGAGTTTTATTGTCTTTGTAGACTGACTGTGAATGTTTATTGTGGGTCTGTGTGTCTGCAGTGTGACTATGGCTCCAGCATTTCGTCTGTCTCTGAAAGCAAAGGCCAGTGACAGTATGAATCACATGATGGTGGACTTCACTCAGGAAAGAAATATGCTACAGGCCATCACATTTCTTCCAGGTCGGTGTATCATCAACAAGGAAATGTCATGAACGGTTTAAGCAAAGCCCAAATGATAGATTTCTGCCTATTTTGCATGTAAACGGTTTTATTGGTGTCATGCCAATGTGTGGAGTGTCAATATATCTGATGGTGTAACAGCTTTGACGTCAAGAACAGAAAAATACAATACTTCCAAAATTTCACAATAATGCTGACAGATTTTCTTGTAACTGTTCAAACTGGTTTTTGTTGTACATGTAAACACTCTATGTTTTTAACTAAACATTGTGCAAGTAATCCCTAAATTCAACCTGAGGCTGGGTAATAGGATTGCATTTGTGATAAAATTTTATCAAATTTAATTTTAAATTAATCAATGAATAAATTATAATAATTGTATTAAAATTAATATAATAAATTATAAACATTATTCACGTTTAACAACTATAATAATTTCAGAATTCCCATATATAACCATGGCACAATCTGACAATAAGCAAAAAACAAGTGTGTCACGAGTGGGTGCTTCCAGTGTTGGTTGATTATATTGTGACCGAATTAGTTTACATTTTTATGACTTCATTATCTCTCTTTTACTGGATCAAATAAAAAAGTTATAATAATATAAAATTATACACCTATATAGATTGTTTACATTTGTTATTTACATTTTGAATGACGATAATTTCAGAATTTCCATGTCTCATGTTTCGGATTATTGGGACTCATGAAAATGTTAGGCTTTGGCTGGTATCTCTGAACAAAGGTCTCCGGTATCAGATATCTCTGTTCCTCTCACCTTTAGTGCCTGCTACACCTGAAATTCACGTGGCTGAAAGCCTGGTATTTGATAACACAGTCACAGTGGTGTGGACCTTACCTGAACCCGACTCCAAAATCGACCACTACATCCTGGAATATCGGAGAACAAATCATGAAGGTCCTCCTCGGGCTCGAGAAGACTACCCCTGGATGGTGATGGAAGGGATAAAAGAGACTGAGTACACTCTCACGGGTAAGCGTTGATATTTGTTTTGCAAGTGATCTTTTCTTGAGTAGTTTTAGATAAAGTTGTGACCATGATGCCATTTGTTTTTCAGGCCTTCGTTTTGACACGCGTTACATGACCTTCAGAGTGAAGGCATGCAATAAAGCTGTGGCGGGTGAATTCTCAGAGCTGGTTACTCTAGAAACACATGGTAAGTTGCACTTACACACACACACACACACACACACACACACACAGAAGGTAATGAGGCATGAAGTTTCTTCTCTGCACAGAGAGAAGAGTCTAACAGAAGTTACAAAGCACTATAAAAGCACCTACTAAACAGTCTGTTAAAGCCTGATTTAGAGACCACTGCTGTAGTACGTCTGCCCTTTTGTGAAATAAAAGTTAGGGCTGTCAATTTAATGTTAATCTATGTTAATTACATTAAATCACATTACATTTAGTCATTTAGCAGACGCTTTTATCCAAGGCGACTTGCAAATGAGGACAATAGAAGAGTGCAAGTGTTAGAGGGTCAAGTGTTTTTTTTTATTAATATGTTAATGTTAATTTAGTGTAATTAATTCTAAAATAACAGTAAGAATATAAGCAAGTAATAATGCCCCCTTACCTATCCATTGAATGCCTATTCAATGCATAATAATTGTTTAAAATTGTCTATATTTAGATTATGTGATTAATCGTGATTTAATTTGATTAATTGGCCGATCATGCAATTTCAATTTTTTAAATTATGGAAATATATAGGGCTGCACAATTAATTAAAATAAAGTGAAACTGCAATACATGATTATCAGATCGCAAAGGCTGTTATTTAATTTAATAGATATAAGCGCTACATGGTTCAAAGTGAAGCACAGCACTGTGTTCTTTTACGTGCAAGCAGCTACTTATGAAAAATAATGTAATAATAATTTTCTTTTACAGTTCAACAGTACAATTACAATTGTTATATCAATATACTTATATAATTTACAAAAGTTATACTGAACTGAAATTACAATTACAATTTTTCTTTATTTTATTTTCGGAAATACTTTTTATTTTACAGTAAAATATTACAAAAGTAATCTTTCTTATTTTGTTTAATATTTTTATTTGGTAAAATAATAGAAATAATAATAATAATTATCAATTAATTAAAAAACAATAAAATCACAATTTTTTTTTTTTTTTTACCTCGTGCAGGCCGAGATTATTTGGGAAGTGCTGAAAACATGGAAAACATGAAAAATAACGTTATTTTTTAGAAAAATAAACTTAACCTCTTACCTTTAAGTCTCCCTTGTCATTTGCTTCCAGCATTCGTCTTTAAACTGGACGCAGGTTCAGCCCATCAGAACCTGAAGGTGGAGGATCTCAGCGTGGAATGGGACAGCAGCGGTGGGAAGGTAGCCGTCCAGGACATCCGTAAGGAGAAGAACAGGACCAGCTCTCCTATGCATTCTCCTGCCAGGTCAGAGTCACACCTACTATGTTAGGACACTTACAAAGGGCTGTACACAGACAGGATTGCCCCTAAACAGCTGTTTCCATTAAATAAATTTGTTGATTGCTTCTCCTAGCTGACTATAGTAGACAGAAAGCAGATGTTCAACATGGCCTCTTTACATATGCTGTCATTGGCTAAATTGTATGCCAAAAGCAGCCTTTGCTGGAATGTTCACCCAGCCTTAAGCCAGAAAACTGCCCTGCTTGTCCAATCTTATAATTTTGTTTTCTCCCTCAGGACAGCCATGATGTCCCCCAAAAGAGCTCCATCTGCTAGAGTGGGCCGGGACCGCTTCACAGCAGAGTCCTACACTGTCTTAGGTGAGTCAACACAAACATATTGCATTGAGCTACAAGACACTGAAGAACCCTCAACTTTGAGAGTGTTCATTCAAAAACTCCCCAAATTCTCTCCAATGTCCAGGAGACACCATGATCGATGCAGGGCAGCATTACTGGGAGGTACGGTTTGATAAGGAGAGTAAGGTGTTTGCGGCAGGAGTCGCTTTGCGGTCTCTAAGTCGCTTTGATCAGCTGGGGAAGAGTAACGCTTCCTGGTGCATCCACCTTAACAACTGGCTTCAGCAGAGCCTCACAGCCAAGCACAATAATAAAGCCAGAACACTGGACTGCCCCTTTCCCGACCGCATCGGCATTTACTGCAACTACGAAGAAGGTGAGTTAAGCTATAAATATGACAAAATTAGTAAAATAGTGCCACAGTAATGATGAAACTAACTTGTTAGCTATGGTAAAAGCAAATGGATGATGTTGGCTGTGTGAGAACCGACTGGTTGCAGCAGTCACAGATTGTATATTTAATATAGTGGTTGACAGATATATTGCTATGGGCAGTATTTGGCTTTTTTAATTATTGGCATTAGCTGAGTTTTTCTGTTTGTGTCAGAAGTTGGACTTTTATTTTGACAGTGCCAGGACTTTTGTGCGAACAAATAGTCACTATTTTTCTTTAATTGTGAAAAATACTAAAATCTGATTATAGAATCAATAAGTTGCTCTATAAAGTATAAATATGTTTATTTTACAGTTTTTCATATTTATTTTTCACATTTTTTTTTTTATTTGGTAAATAATTTGTAAACATTAATTTAATTGCAGCATGTGTCATTTGTATCTTTAAATGAAATTAAATTGCATGATATTGTATATCTTTACATTGGCCATCAATCACCCTGCTCTTTAAAGGGGTCATATGATGTTGCTAAAAAGAACATTATTTTTTGTATTTGGTGTAATGAAATGTGTTTATGCGGTTTAAGGTTAAAAAAACACATTATTTTCCACATACTGTACGTTATTGTTTCTCCTCTATACCCCGCCTTTCTGAAACGCGTCGATTTTTACAAAGCTCATTGGTCTGAAAAGCAAGGTGTGCTGTGATTGGCCAGCTATCTTTATGCACCAAGAGCTTGTAACACTTCAAAGATAAAGGAAAATTTGAAATCGCATCATATGAATGCATATCGGTCAACCACTAATTAGTTACTTGTTAACTAGTTTGTTCTTGTTTTTCCTCTTCCCTTTCAGGCACATTGTCTTTTTACAACTCTAGAACCAAAACTCTCCTTCATACCTTCAGAACCAAGTTCCAGCAGCCTGTTATACCAGCCTTTATGGTAAGATATAATACAGCTCACTTTGTATTTAACAATTTAATCACACATAAATTAGGGATATTTTGAACATGCTAGTCGGCTATAATTAAGCTAAACAGATGTGTTTCAGAGTCCTTTGCGTAAGATGCATTCTTGCATTCAAAAACATCTAAGTGGAGTGCAATGGAATGGAAAGAATGCAGGTCTATTTTTAACTTGGCACCATCATAAAAATGCAGTCATGGCACAGATTGCTGCAAAAAATAAAAAAATACGCAAATCACAACATGTTTGTCTGGATATGTGTGCTTGTAAGAGCGGTGCTTCAAATGCAGTGCAACTTTAACTAACTTACTAAAAAAATAAGAAAAAATGTACAAGAAAAAGTCTACATTTATTTGTTTACCACCAGACATTTTTATCCAAAGTGACCTACAAACTTACACAGTATCAAGTTAGACTAACATACAATCTGCCTTACTGATTGATAAGTTTTTCTGTTTGGGTGATAAGTGTCAGAAACGGGACATTTATTTTGACAGTGCTGAGACTTTTATGCAAGTAGAGTTCTGTTAGGATGACATTTTTTGTAGGCCAAAACATGAAAACCTTTTTTGGCTAAAAGCCTGAAATAAGTTTTGTGGTTATCACAAGCTCAATATATTTCCCCGTTTTATTCTACAACAAAATACATCAGTAATACCCCCTTGTCATTTTGAAGCTTTTACTAACAAGTAGCTACATGGGACTACAGAGGTTGCCGAGGACATAAAATGTCATCACACTGAACGGGAAAACTCATCGACTCACTAGTCCACCTTTAGTGCACTTACAAACGATTCTAACTCAAACTTTCAGAGAAAATGTTTTTTAAATAAAGACTGCAAGAGTTGTCAGAAGTTTAATAGTGGTGACACTGAAATTCTCTTTCGCCCCCTATAGGTGTGGAATGGGAGTTTCTCAGTGCAGACGGGCCTTCAGGTACCCAGCATCGTGCTGAGCGGTCAGAAGCGAAACAGTAATACAAGCAGCTCTAATGCCAGCCTTACTTAAATCATACTTCACTCTAGAACTGCTACACGTACACACAGGTTTGGAGAACATCTGGCAACCCTGACATAACACTGGCACAACAGAGCCTGGAGGCTCTTTCTATCATCAGTATGTCTTCCCAGCCCAGGGGGAGAGCTGCTCTAGTTTGCTTTCCTCATTCCTTTTAGCTCACTGATCTGGATCCTGTGCCTTTCAGTGTCCTGAATTGAGACATGATGTGGTATTACTCTATTTCAACATGCTAAAAGCTTTAATAGCCTTGAGTTCATGTGCATATCACTAGGGCCAAAAGTTGTGTTATGTTTTTTTGTAGCATTTGTTCATTCAAATCACAGTATTTGAGCCACATTTGAAGTTATTTCAGTGCAACAGCAGCATGTTGGTGTTATTGTTTGAAGTCTCAAACGAAACTGTATTGTTTACACACTGAATGTCTTTAATTATATGCCTCGAATTCTGCTACAGTAGCTGCTTCCGTAAACATTTTAAATGTATAGTATCAGAATAGCACAATAATCTTAAGCTTAATCATAGAAATCAAATGCCTTTTATAGAATGTATTAATTCCGCAGTTCCAGCATCTGAGGAGGAAGGAGGCAGGTTTAACAAACCATTTGGTTGTGCAGTCAGTGGTGTGTGTGTGTATGTCCATGTTCATAAACTGTCACCCAGAAAGGTACTTTTCAGTGTTCTTGATGCAAATATTTACCAAACATCACTTTTTTTGTATGCTAGCTGCAATTACAGATTACAGAAGACAGTGATTTTTTTTTTGCCACATTGCTGAGGGATATTCACCCAAAACTGAAAATTCTGTCATATGTTTTTCCAAAACTGACTCTGTTTCTGTGGAACACAAAAGAAATTTAAAAAAATGCTAGAGCTTTCAAGCTTAATAAAGGATATAAAAGATATATAATTGTCATAAAAGTCCTCCATATATTCCAAAGTTTATGAAGTCATTTGGTAGTTTTGGGTAAGAAACTGCGATTTAAGTCAATAGATATTGATAATCTTCCCTTCCAGTGAACTGTTAATTCAAACCATTGCAATTAGTCAGTGAGACATTTGAACTCCAGAACCAAATCAGTCTGATTCATGGCTGAATTGGATTGACTGATTCATTGAAAAGAGCCGACTCAAAAGAATGATTCATTTATGAATCAGACATCGCTACTACTTTCATTAAGAGAGCAATTTTTTTTTTAAATTGAAAGTGAACATTTAATTTCAGACTGTTTATCACACAAAGCTATCAAATGACTTCAAAAGACTTAAAATATAACGAACAAGATGTATGGACTGTTTTTATGCTGCTTTTGAATTATTTTTAAAGCTTGAAAGCTCCACATGGTACTTGAATTGGAAAACAAAGTCATACAGTTTTAGAACAACACGAGTGTGTGTAATTAATGACAGAATTTTGATTGTTGGCTAATCTTAATATAATCTGCAATGCTTTTAGTCAAACACCTGAACATTTTAAACATTACTGTTTGAAACGAAAGTCAACCTGTAAAACTGTACTATTACACTACCTGTTACGTCAATAAAACCAATGCCAAACATACTTATTGTCTTGCACATCCACACAAGGAAGAAATTGTGACACAGGGTACGTTTTTCCCATGATCAATGTATTCTCAAAATATATAGTATAAAACACGTTTTAACAGGAACAGAAAAACAACATTTGTTTGATCTGTTTCTCAGATCTGGAGAAAGAAGACCTGCAACTTCCCCACATAGTAAAGTCACAATATAGATCAACATATTATCAACAACCATTTGTGATTATAGCAAGCTTGATATTTTTATGATCAGAGACAGAGAACGGAGACATAGACCAGCTATCTGACACACAGGAATTGAAGACAAAATATTTAAATGTGACTTTTCATCTAAATAACTTCACAAACAGCAGTAGTGATTTACAGTCAGCAGCTATGCAATGCAACACATGATGATCGATATGTTTGTCTAATAAATGATTGTGATAACTAATACATCATAACGCTGAAAGGATCAATAAAGAAAATTTGATTCAAGGGCCTATTTGTGGATCCAACTGAACAGCAGTGGGCAAATATCACAGATACAGTGTTCAGGCGAGTAAAGCTGTATAGTATAGATTTAAGACGAGCTTAATACTAAGGAATGATTCCTCGTTCCACAATGAAATCTTGCTGAGATTACATTTATTCCTGGTTTCGTCTCCTATTAAGAACCTCTTGGAGCTCATCTGTTAAGCACAAAACCACAGTGAGTTATGGATTTGTTGGAGTAATTGCAGATATCAGAAGCAGGAAATATTGTTCTGATTTGAAAGTAAAAGACTTAAGAGTTAAATAGTGGCACAAAAACAAGAACGTGTTCTTACGTATGTCAACATGTTGCCGCTCACTCTTGGGAATATTCTTAGGCATGCTTGACAAACTGTTGCTTCGGGAAGTTGTTTTAGAGTAGCCAGGAGGTACCAAAGCTTTTCTTTCACCATCTACATTAAAACAGAAAACATTAAGATGCCTCTGCTTTTCATTGAAATTATTAGTAAATCCACAGATCTGCCAAATGGTATTAGGGAAGTGATCAAAGCGCTGGGACATTTATTTGGACTAAGTGTTTAGTAGTAGCATCAAAGAGACGTCAAACTTGTTCTGACTAAAGGTATAAAGCAGTTCATCATTGCAACACCCTCACCCATATGATTTCAGCCCAGATAACAATCTCTCAAAATCAATTCACCTGAACTACTGTTTAATTCTGGAGACACTGAATTCTGATGTGGTAAATATCGTCCTGCTAAAACAAAATACCATCATCAGAATGATCCAGTAATTAACTATTTTTTACAGCATTTATTACTCTGTTAATGTAAATATCAAACAAGAACAATGAAATGAAGTGTAAACGAACAAAAAATGCTGGAATGGAAAATTCATTTTCATTTAGAAATGTGGGACATTGGGCTATTGTTGTTACCTGGAAGATGTGGCAGGACAGGAGGTGGAGGACTTGCTGCCTGATCCACCTCATACTCTCCAACATCTGGAAAACACAAACATACAGTAATCGAGGATCAACAACATGCATTACAAACACAATAAAATATTCAAAAAAAGCTAAGGAACTGTGAAACCCTAAATTCACAGATACTTTGAAGTGTATAAGGACTTACCTGAGACATTGAGGTAGGTGCTTTCATGTGTGTTTGCTTCTGACTGGAATCTTTGATTCCTTGGGACTAAACATGCAAATCAAAAGAGTTCCATTACTTTACATGTCTTCTAAAAGTAAAGCTGACAGTTTAAGTTCAGTTTAAGACACTCATTAAACCCAATACAGTATGTTTTAAATGATAGATACGTTCACTGACAGTATGTATTTGCGCTTGAAGATGATTTAAAGATGTATTACCTGGTTTTGGGGGTGGCATTGGAGGAGTAGGCGAAGGGCATTTGGGACAATGCACATTTCTCTCACCATTCTCATTTTCGGTCTCAGCAAATGCTGAAAGAGAACAAAAATAGGAATAGTATAAATCGGGCCTATTAAACTTAGGGTGACCATATTTTAGTTTTTCAAAAAGAGGACAGTAAGGGGCGGGGTTCGTGGGTGGGGACAGGGGCGGGGCTTCGCCTAACAGTATTCATAGCAAGTTTTTTTTTGTTTGTTTGCTTATTTTGATTTTATAATAAATAAAAATAAAACAAGTCAATAGAACAGAAAAAGAATAGATAATGCAAGTGTTAGAAGGTCATTATTTATAATACAAAGAAAATAAGTAGAAAGAATAGAGAAACCATAGAGAATGCAAGTGTTAAAGGCTCTTCTTTCTTTATAAATAAAACAAGTAGTTGGAATAGAAATAGAATAGAGTGCACAAATGTTAGAGGGTCAAGTTTTTTAATAAAAAGAGATCAAATTAGAAGTAGCATTAGAATAGAGAGTGCTAGAGTTAGAGGGTCAAATGAAGATGAAAGAGATGTGTTTTCAGCCGTTTCTTGAAAATATTAAGCTGCTTGGATTGAGCTGGGCAGGTCATTCCACCAGGAGGGAACAGTTAATGTAGAAGTCCATGAAAGTTTTATCA